TCCACGGCTTCGGCTGTCCCTCCGCCTTCTGGTGTCTCAACGTCGACGCTCTGGCAGAGCATCGTCCAGTTTACTTCATGGATATGCTCGGTGATCTAATGGATCATGTTGCTTATATTTTATGGACTACTGAGAGTCAAGTCACTATTTTCTTCATGGATATGCTCGGTGATTTGATGAATCATATTGCTTATATTCCATGAACTGCTAAGATTCAATTCGAGCATCGTCCAGTTTACTTCATGGATATGCTCGGTGATTTGATCAATCATGTTGCTTATATTCCACGAACCTCTGAGATTTAATTCTAACATCGTCCAGTTTACTTTCATGGATATGCTCGGTGATTTAATGGATCATATTGCTTATATTCCATGAACTACTGAGATTCAAGTCATTACTTTTACCTAATTGTTGGAATGTGATTCTCAATTTTTAAAATAATGACTACAATTTTTAATTAAAGCAAATAATTATAAGATAAATGAGCGTAAACATAATGTTATTCAGCCTTACAAAATTTTTAACTTTAATTCATTTTCACTTGGGCAGTTTGGTTACATTTCAGTTGGATTGCGATACTAGTGGCAGTTTTTCTTGTCTGAAAGAATGACATTAAGAAAAAAATCGATTGCCTCTTTAGCTACTGTATTATAGTTTTATGGAAAAATCAATAAATATTTAATTCACGCAGTTACTATGGGTTAACTGAATTAAAACTCAAAAAAGATTCATAATACTTTTTGAATCTGGTTCCGCGTTCGAAATAAAAAAAAAAACTGATCATAATTCTTGCACAGCACAAGTTTCACGTTAATTATGAAATGCGCTTCGTAATTAATGCAGAAGTCGCACGTTATTGATGAAGTTCACTTAATAATTTATGCACGAATTTGCATTACATATGAAGTGTGCTTCAAAATTCATGCAAAAGTTGAACGTTATTCACGAAGTGCGCAACCGTGTTCAGGGCTCAGTCGCGGAGCTCACACCCGATGTTTGATTCTAAATCACTTATTTAACAAATTATTCATAATTCATGTACAAGTTAGACGTTATTTATGAAGTTTGTTTCATAATTCATGCACAAGGTGCACGTTATTTACGAAGTTTGTGCACGTATATGTGGTCAGATCTCGGTCGTAGCTCCCGCCCTACGTACGTACAGCACGGACTCTGTGCGGGCTGATCGGGGGCTCGTGGAAACCATCGACTCATTCCTAACTTAAAACCATTATTTTAAATAGAAAACTTGTCGTAATTTATGTACAAATTAAACGTAATATACTATATATGTACACGTATGTGGTCAGGGTTTGGTCGGAGCTCACGCCCCACGTACAGCCGTGATCCGCTGCAGCGGATCGCCGGGGCTTGTGGAAACCATCGACTCATTCGTAATTTAACAAACTAATAATAATTTATATACAAATTAAACGTTATTTACGAAATATGTACACGTATGTGGTCAGGGTTTGGTCGGAGCTCACGCCCCACGTACAGCCGTGACCCGCAGCAGCGGACCGGGGGCTCGTGGAAACCATCGACTCAATCCTAATTTAACAAACTAATCATAAATTAAATTAAACGTTATTTGCGAAATTGGTCAGGGTTTGGTCGGAGCTCACGCCCTACGTACAGCCGTGACCCGCTGCAGGCTGAGCAGGAGCTGGTGGAGAGTATCGAGGCCTGGAGGAAGGTGGTTGGGCTGGAGCGCTTCATGCTGCTGGGACACTCGCTCGGGGCCTACTTGGCCACCGTGTACGCCTTCAAGTACCCGGACAGGTACTTATTATATTGTGATTACATTATATATCACTATATATTTATTATTTTTAATATAATATTAAGATATTCATTATATATAATAAATATCGGGCTATTATATTTATTGAAAACGATGTGCTGGAGAATATTGATGTAAGTATTTTAAATAGAAATAAGGACCATTTGCCTGCTGCCTTAGATAAATTAACACTATCATATAATAACTGTCTCTTATACACATCTAGATGTGTATAAGAGACAGCATTAAAATCATTTACTTTTACCAGGATTGTTGAACCGTATAGCGCTCCCGTAGAATGGTACGACTCCTGCTACGACCGTACTTCTATCGCCCTTCTGCAGCCGTATCACCAGCGGATGGGTCGCAGCTGTGTAGCCGGTCGTCCCGGCTAGTGGCTGTTCCTCAGAACTATCATGTTTCCTTGATATTGATGTCTCACGGTCAGTCTTGCCGTAGGTTGTTCAATAATGACCGTACTGAATATAATTCTGGCGCAGTGCTGGAAACTTGAATTTTCGCGATTACCAAACACTCATTAGCAAGAACGAAGATTAACTTGTTTTTTCATATGCAAACTTGTTCCATCTGGAAACTTGTTCCATATATAAGCTTGTTCCATCTGGAAACTTGTTCCATCTGTAAACTTGTTCTACCTGGAACTTCTTCCATCTGGAAACTTGTTCCATCTGTAAGCTTGTTCTATCTGGAAACTTACTCCATCTGCCAACTTGTTCCATCTGTAAACTTGTTCCACCTGGAATTTGTTCCATCTGGAAATTTATGAATTTCTGGGCATTCCTTCCCGATTTTTTTCTTCACTCTGCGAGCCCGAGGCGAGTCGTCAGACACGCGAGGGCTCCCAAGTTCTAAAATCAAGGCCGCTTGATTGCAAATGCTCGGCCGATAGGCCGAGTCGTTATATACTCTGTCTCTTATACACATCTAGATGTGTATAAGAGACAGGCTCAAGGTCGTACTTGTAAGTCCAATGTAGTTCATATTTTGAAGAAGTCTACAACCTTCTTTATTACATGAGAATTTATAAACCACATTAGTTTCTTGAAGCAGACCAGTTTTTTTACACGGATTATTATTCATTACAAGGTTTTTTATTTTCTTATTTTTGTAGTAGATCAGAAGTTTTATGTTTTCAATCAATCTATCAATCTTTTGCGGATTGATAGACAATTTTCGCATAGAAGTACGGATCAGCAAATAATCATAAAACCTAATGATAATTCACTTGACTGTTTTCGTTATTTATGTTTGCATCATCAATATTTTGATTTTAAATATGTTACATATATATGTTTTTGATGCAAATTCATATATTGACTCAATTTTACATATAAAATAATATTCCATGGTTCTACATTATCGGACATCGTTGTAGAGTGTAGACAACTTCTTATAACAGTATAATTGTTTGAAAATATTCATGCAAATAAATTTAAAATCTTCTTAGTCTATTATAGGCTGCTTCTTTTTGTTGTAAATAAGATGTATGATTTATTCCATGTTCCTCACAATTGCTATGACAATAAGTTTTGTTCCAATCGGTGATAATTTTTTTCTCCAGCTAGATGCATAGCAGCACGTTGCGTACCCCTAACGCACATGGCATTGATGACGTCGAATATTACCGCAAAAACTGCTACAAAAACCTGCCTCATGCCATCCTGAGAGCTTCAAGTCGTCAGGGTCAGTTCAGACGCAGCCATGTGAAAGTCAGGGAGTGTGACTGTGGGTCGTGCAGCTCAAACTGTTACTTCAACGTAGTTTTATTTGTACACATATTCGTTTATTTCTGCCCATGCCTATATCCTGTCTCTTATACACATCTAGATGTGTATAAGAGACAGCAATAGATCGCATTAGAACACAATAGATCACGTTAGAACCCAATAGATTGAAAAGTTTTTTCAGCAGTAGCATTGGGCTTGCCAGACGTATGCACATTGTGATCAGGTGACAGATACAAGCTATCAAACAAGCTGAAGATGGGCGCGGTGACAGCGGGGCTGATCCAGCAATCTATAGTTTATGATCAGTCATGGCTGCCTGAGACATAGTTTATGATCGGCCATGGACGCCGATTTAAGGTCGATGTGGCTGATGGAGAGCTTGAAAAGACGCCAATATCTCGAGCTGAAAGGCCCTACTCTACAGCCTGGGTACCTTCCAAGGATTTCCTGGAGAAATTGAGCATGGCATGGGGCCTAACTCTTCTGGACAAAGAGTCAACCCTGATGGATCAGGACCAGAACAAGTTCTGACAAACTTGCCGAACTCTACTCCACTGCTTGGGACCCAGAATTCAGCTGAAATTCCACCCAGTGCTCTGAGAACAGTGCTGATAGAACCAGTGGGTGCCCCTGAGGAAGTTAGAGCTTTCTTCTCAAATGATATTAANTGTTCATTAGCCGGCCATCAGCCACTCTTGCTCTGGCCGCCAGCGCCATAGGTTAGTAACTGATAGTGTTCTCTTGATGGGAAATCTTCATTTGTCTTGCCTGTGAATATTATGTTCTGTACCTTTGAAACATTTAAGGGGCCATGCTGATCTCTCTTGTATCCATTCCAGTTCCGGTTGGGGAGACCATCTACTATCTGACACACCAGTGACCCGAGTTAACAGCAAGACTATCACAGCCGTGTTACCAAGTAGGCCTATGGAACTACGAGTCGTCTGTGCCTCTACCCGCCATCTGTGAACCAGTTGTGTGGTCTACTTCCAGTCGTCCGTAACTCTAGTGTCTATCGTCCGTAGCTCTACCTCCAGTCGTCCGTAGCTCTAACGTCAGTCTTCCATAACTGACAGTCAGTCGTCTGGGATTCTCTTGTCGGCTACCTGCATTCCCTCACCGGATCTTTCCTTGTTCCTAAGTTAAGTTGTCGATTCGTTTATATCTCATTAAATTTATTGTGTGATGCGTCCATTATTACCCACCGGTTCGACTGATGCCGTTTAGCCTCTTCGATACCCTTACAGAATGATTCTAATTGTTACACAGCGTGTGTACTGGCATTTAGAAAAAAAAATCCATGACTTTTCCATGACCTGGTTCTAGTAATCTTTGAATGTTAACTGAAAAGAGAGTAGTAGTCAGTTCAGCAGAACCAAACTTTGCCAGAAAATGTATACAAGATGTGTATCAAACCTACGTATCCACTCTTAGATTTATTTCATCTTCCAATTTTATTATAAATCCATTTTTCTCCACTGGTTCCAAATGGAACTGCTTGGCATTAATGGGTTAACAGACAGCACAGAAAAACACTTCTTTTTTTTCTTAATTTTTTTGCCAATTCCATGACTTTCCATAACCTGAAATGAAATCCCATGCCTTTCCAGGCCTGGAGAATAAAAATCAATTCCATGACTTTCTGGGTTTTCCATGACCAGTATGCACTCTGGTGACAGGAATAGAGCTTGGGCACTTTTTTACCACTAATTCATTTGTGGAGTAATTTGTAGCTAATTCAGCATACATATTACCTTTTTTTACAAATAAGAATACATGATTGTTCTGAGGCTGAGCAACTAGAATGGTCAATTCTTGATCCACTTTCTGGACTAGTTTTGACACCTGTTAAGTTAATTTGTTACTGTATTCCAGGGAAGTGAGTGAAACTGTGAACATGGGTACCTATTCTAATAATTGGCACATAATCATTAATAATATGCAGCCCAACTGTTTTATACAAAGTAATTTGTTTCACCAGACTCACCTTCTGTAAAATTTAGCTTTGTGAAGAATTCATCATAACAATGAGGTGTTACAACAAAAAGCAATGCTTCTTTAACAAGAGATGTGGCCATTATTTTAAATATTTCTGAAAAAAGAATTAATTTAATGAGACATTACAGTATCAGGATTCAGGAATAATCATGGTAAATGATCAAATATTTGATTGTGATTCATTGTGTTCAATTGCAGTGCTAAACAACCAATCGCAGATCATACATCATTACGTCGGGACCTCATTGAAGTATACAAGTATGCTCATGGTTTATACAAGGCTCTCAAAGGATTGCTAGAATTTGAAACAAGAACCAACACCAGGGGCCACAGCCCACTGTGCAGAGAGTGGATGAATATTGCAAGATCTTTGGCGGCACTTCAGTAGCAAAATTTATGCCTTCAGAAGATCTTGCCAACACATTTAGATTGTAATTCTTGCATTTAATATATTTGTCAGTCTTCGGCCAACTATTTAGAAAAAAAGTAAGGTTTCCGGTACGTTGGATGGATCACGATGCAGTAAAGCTTGTCCAGAAATCGGTTGCGATGTAACATGTGAGCGAAATAAAACAAAATTATGATATCGAGTGCTCCATAAATGATTTCAGACCGTAACATTCCTGACTTTCTCACTTTCTCACTTCGATTCTCACTTTCGAGGACCAGCGCAGAATAGCGCACAGAGAAAAATGTGTTGCGTTTAATCATATTGTTTAGCATTGAAACAAATACTGATTAGGTTAGGTTAGGTTGGGTTCGATTTGGTTAGGTTAGGTTAGGTCCTTTTAGGTTAGTTTTGGTTAGGTTAGGTTAGGTTAGGGAAGAATAAATAAAGTTAAGTAAGTTTGGGTAATGCTGCGCAGGGGTTTTGAATTATGGGTAATGTAAGGTTGGGCTTGAGATAATTACATTATTTTGAGTACGGAAAGTTTATTATGAGTAAGGATGGAGTAGAGCCGTTCAGGTTAGGTAAGGTTGGATAAGGTAAGGTATGAATAATTATGGTTACATAGATTGTGGTAGATGGTGGTTTAGGCAAAATTAGCCAATGTGAAATACAGAGAGAGTAGGCAAGGTTTACAAATATATGGAAGTGGTCAATTCTTTTGATGTTTTTGGAATTGCGTTTGAGTTAAAATACGATAGTGGCAGAGTGAGCTGATGATTGCTTGAGTGCTGTCTAATGTTGCAATTGATGAGATTTGAATTGTGACTGTGAGTATTGGAATTCTTTACAGGATTTGTTTTCGGTGGACTACCGAGTGTATAGTTTAGAGTTTTATTGGCAAAATGCAGGGCGTTGTTGCTTAGTTTTGTTGGCGTGACTGATGAGTGATAAAAGTGTGAGTGTTGCTATTTTAATGATGGCTTTTTGAGATTGATTATTTTGATAAGTGATAAGATATAGGACTGTGAGTATATATTGTATTTGCCTTAATGACGGAGTTGTTTGATGTGAGTGAATTGTTGAAAATGATGTGAAAAAGAGTGCGCTGGTGATTGAATTGACTAGGTGTGTTATTGGTGTGATTTATATTATTATTGAAGTAATTTAGAGCTGTTTGTAACGTAACATGTTATGTGTGAAAAGGGACTGTTGCGGCATGATTGTCCCTGATGTGCTGGTTCTGCTGATCTATAAATTA